TTTATCTTTCAGAAGCTGTATACATTTTTAATTCATTACATTGTCAATTATTCCTCAGTTTTAAATTTTCAGTTACTCATTCAAAAGTTTTATCCAGTTTTTAATTTACCCTGTAAAAACAGATTTTAATTTAAATATGTTCTGGTTTTGGTTAATATTTCATTGGTTCTAAAATCTGAAGTATTACTTTTCTTTTAGATTACTCAGAAGGTTTTTAAACTCTTAAAGTGGAAGTTGAAATCTCAGATTTCTGCCCTTTTTTGGTCTTATAATATAAGCATCTTTCCAGATTTATTGAAGTATAACTAGGAAATAAACATATTGAAGAAGTACAGCATGGCGTTTTGGCATATGTGTACATTGTCAAATGATTACTACAGCAAGCTAATTAAAATGTCTATCACCTCTGATAGATACCTTTGTATGTCTGTGGTGAAAATAATATCCACACCATTGACAAGTTTCTAGTTTGTCAGCAATACATGACAGGCAATGCATGCACATGTATACAATATGCTGCCATGACTTAGTCATCACATTACACATTATATCAGCATAATTTGTTGTTAACGTAAGACTTTGAGTCTATAATTTTTACTTCACTCACATCTTTACATGGCTGATATTGATAATTAGTATTATCCTTATGAATCAGTTACATTTTCTTATTTCCTCAATGGTTTTGTTTTTGATAGTCTTTTTGTTTGTGGTTTATTGTTTTTTTTTTTTATTTTTGCAGTGCTGGGGGTTAAATTCAGGGCCTCACCCATGCTGGGCAAGCGCGTATGGGCTACACCCCCAGCCTATCATTGTTTTTTCACACATACACCTTAAAAGTATAATAGTTTTAAATTTCTAAATTTGTATTTGTTTTTATTTTTTGTTCCAATTACTTGACTTATCAAGCTTTTAGTTTCGAGGTAACTGTGTATTCTCATGAAGTTGTAGGGAAAATGTTTTTTTGCAAATTATGGTAGTACAATTTCAAAAACAGGTTTATGGACATTGATTCAAGATATGGAGCATATTTCAGCCCACAAGGAATCCCTCATATTGTCTTTTTATGACCAAGTCCATTTCTTTGTTATTCCTTTCTCCCTGTCTACCCCATTTTTAAATCCTGGTGACTACTATCCTGTTCTCTACTTCTGCAGTACAGACGCTTCAAGGGAATCATACTTCAAGTAATTATTTGTAATTTTCTACTTTGCTAAATATAATTCTTTGGAGATTTATTGAAAGAGTCTCCTGCATCAACTTTTTGTTCCTTATCAGTATGGAGTGGACTTACATGATTTGATCATTGGATCAAATGGATGTTATTTCCAGTTTTTCATTATCATGGTTAAAGTTTTGTAACTATTCATATACAGGTTTTTGTGTGATATTATGTTTTTATTCATCCAGAATGACAATCCAGGAGGTTGTGGAGAACTTTGTGATACTGTTTTTTTTCTTTTAAAGACTATAAGACAAAACAAAACAAGGAGTAGTGATTCAGAACAGAACAATACAAGCACACAGGACTTCAAAACAAGACAACAGGAAATCAACAATGACTACCACAATGTCTCCTGTTTTCTTCAAAATAGCTCTTCATATCATCGCACATCAATAAAATCAAACAAAACAAAACAGAACAAAGCCAATCAAAACAAAAGAATGAAAGCATAACATGACTTCAAAACAAGACAACAAGAAATGATGTCTCTTGTTTTCTTCAAAATAGCTGTGCTTACCTTCACACACAATGAAGTCAAATGAAGCAAAATAGAATAAAACCAACCAAGACAAAAGAATGAAAGCATTACAGGACTTCAAAATAAGACGACAATAGGAAATCAATAATGTCTCTTGTTTTCTTCAATATAATTGTCCATACCTTCACACATAATAAAATCAAACAATAGAAAACATACTAAAATCAATCAGAATAAGAGAATGAAAGCATTACAGGACTTCAAAACAAGATAATAGGAAATGAACAATGGCTACTATAATGTCTCTTGTTTTCTTCAAAATAGCCATCCATACTATCACATATAATAAAATCAAATAAAATACAACAGAATAAAACCAATCAAAATTAATGAATTAAAGCATTATAGGACTTCAAAACAAGATGATACGAAATCAACGATGGCTACTGTGATGTCTCATTTTCTTCAAAATAGCTGTTCATACCATCACACATATTAAAATCAAACAAAAAAACCAGAATAAAACCAATCTAAACAAGAGAATGAAAGCATTACAGAATTCAAAACAAGATAATAAGACACCAACAAAGGTTACCATAATACAACCTGTTATCTTCAAAATAGCTGCCCATATCATCAGAGAAAGTAAAATCTAGCAATAAAAGACAACAAAACCAAATTGAGCAAAATTATGAAAACTATACAAGAGTTCAGCACCAGACAATAAGAAATTAACAGTGGTTACCACCTCTCCCTCCTAGGCATTTTCTCCCCTATCACTTTCATAATATCTATTGTGCTTTATGGATTCCACTAAGCCCTTTATAGATTTTTATGCTTGGGAGATAACTCAGTGCTCACCGATATGAGTTCAATGAACATGATCTCCAGTTGCATCCATCTATCTACAAGTGATTATCCTACTTTATAGGTAGGTAGCTTTCCATTGTATGAATATACTGTATCTTTCTTTTCTTTTTAAATTATAAAAAACCATTAAGACATTTATTTGCATAAATGAAAATAGTATACAGACATATCACACAAAAACAAATTACAGAAACTTTGATTTTTCTTGCACTTAATTAGCAACAGCTTATAAAATCCCTACACAATGGCACCAAAGTAAAATGTTACAACTCTTCAGGAATGTAATGAGGCAAACGTAAACTATAAAACTGTTGATATAATTTCACTTTATCCCATTCCAAGAATTTATCCTAATCAAACAGAAAGGCACTCTAGTATTCAGTAGTAGAAAAATAGTTTAAATAAATGAGTATGAATATGCAGAAAATAATCATTATCAAAGCTAAATATAAACAGTTAATACAATATCAAATATTCAAAGTAGATGCCTTAGATGATAACTTTTTGAACAATAAACACAGAAAACTGGTAATATAAAATTAAAATTCTGCAGTTGCATTAACATGTGAAGATTATGAATAAATTTTCATTTATTTGCCTCTACTCTTTGATCTCTATTCTTCCCTATTAACAAATTAAACCTATCAGTTTTTAAGTTGAGAAAAGGATAGAAGCATGGGTAGTGGCTAAAGTTGGAGATAATCACATGTGCAGGGCTGGAACAAAGCTGATCCCAAAAAACAAAGAGCCCTGCAGGGCTCTGTGAGCCAATATACCAGATGTTCCAGTTCCAAAACAATCCAGAGTCCAAGGCAATCCAAGCAAACAGGCAGAGGGGTGTCACGTGACATCAACTTGCCAAGTGTATAAATAAATGCACTGCAGCCCTTGAGCAGTCCTTTTTTCTCATTCTGAGAGAGGGCTCCACCTGACCTCAGCTTTCTGTTTTCTAACTCTTTTGTTTATTTCTTCATCCTCCATGGTCCTTCGCCCCAAGAATTTCAAGAGCTTCACAGGATGCACACAGTTCTTTGGGTTCTAAAACCTAAATATTTCTCATTTGAACTTTAATTGGTAATGAAGGAAGTCATATCTCAATCTGTGACATTTGAACAAGCAGGGACAGCCATTGTAATCTTTGGTTAACATAAAATGTAGGACACTAACTGAATGTATAACAGTATAAACTTTCAACTTATAAATTTATGTGTTTGGCATGTTAATATGTCATGATATCAATTTTCTTCTCATTTTCTATCTTGCCCTAACAATTAACTTAATGTTTTCATTTACAATATGCTGTCAATATGCTGAATATACTCTACTGAGATGTCTAACTTTTATATTAAGTTTACATTAGATTAAGCACAAATAAAACCACTTTGGTTTACATATTATAAAATTTTTGAGATTGTAAGCAAATATCTTTTAAAAAGGCAATTCACAGAAACCTAGAAACCTTATTTCATGAAGTTATTTTAAATGAGCCTTCCTTTTGAAATTGCATTTGAGTAAATGAACAGGGATTTGGGTGTTTCTATAGGACAGCTGTATAATATATTACATTCCCATAACTAAAATATAAAAATTTCATTACATGAAATTTGCCATTTTGTAATCTGACTACATTTTCAAAATTATGGAAAGAGAGAGAGAGTGAACTTTCTTAAGCTATTTGAATGAAACACTGGAGAATCACTCTTTTTAAATATTCAGAGCAGAAGAGATTTGCTGGAAATGCTGAGCAGTTATCTCCATGTCTATAAATATCACTTGAAAGAGCAAACAAAGAAACATCATACAGATGAATGCTTTATAGAAAGATATAAATAAACACTAAAAAATGAAGAAAATTGTAGGATAATATTCTTTAGTCTAAATTTTATAAATTATGTTATTTAGTAACTTGATTCAAAGTAGTTTACTATGTTAATATAATCACCAAGAAAATATCTCATAGCTGCCAGAATACAATGCTAAGGAGCCGTCTTCTATTCTAATGGCAGAGATGAAATTAATTAATTATATTCTACTTACATCCTGCTAGTGGTAGCAGGATAATCTGGTTCATCTAAAAATACGATCTAAACACAGCCATTACTAGATGTGTGCAGCCTTATCAGTAAAATGTTTTAGTACTAATAAACTCCAAAACATAATAAAGAATTCAATAGTGATTATTCCACAGTTGAAGAATTTCAAAACAATGGAGCTAAAGGCCTAAATAAAAATAGTATAATTACTTTTGTGAACCTAAAGAAAACATGTAGGTCACATATTTCATTCATTAGAAAATTTGTCCAGCTTCTTCACAGGAAAAGACTGAAGCAAGATCAAACTCAGAAAGTTAATCTTCCTGAATCTAATCAAATTCGTATTTTAACAAGATAAAAATATCTTTAAAGAACAATCCATAGAAGAGCAAAGAACTGAACAATTGCAAGGCCATATGTAAGGTATAGCAAATAAATTATATGCTATAGAAACTGTTAGTGATGCTTTACTTTCTTCATTCAAAAAAAAAAAAAGAGTATTCATTTGTCTCTCGCACATAGCTTGTCATTCTGTATCTGCACACAGGATTCATTCACATGTCAACCAGGAAACGATGATCCTTCAGACCAGTCTCAACATGTCTTAATTACATCACCCTCTCCCTTTGTCTCACTTAGAGTTATGTATTTACAGTTCATGTCCTGCTCATTTGCCTCTTCAGGTTTTGATTTTTTAAGTGCCAACAAGTGGGGAAAGAGAAGAGCAGTGCCCAAGGGACTGTGCGATGTCATCAATGGTCCACTTGTCTTCAGGAAGGGCATGCTCTTCCAGTGTAAAAGGCCCCTGGTCAGCTCCAGTACACTGGCACAGGAAGACAGCGCTTTGCCAATGTCACTGACCAAGCTTCTGATGTAAAAACCACCTCCACATTCAACATCTAATGTAAAAAATGGTGGCTGGAATTTTTCAAGGGAGATACTGTATACAGTAACCGGCCTGGCAGGTTTTGCTTCTACTACTTTTCGTCTCTTCATTAAAGTTGAAAGTCTCTGCCCATCTTTCTTTAATGCAGAATAGAGAGGGGGTGTCTGCATTATATTTCCAGTAAACTTCTGTAGAATACTTTCAATATCCTCTTGTGTTATTTTATCATAAGGTTTCTCTTCGGTCACTTTCCCCGTAGAATCTAGTGTGTCGGTGGCCTTTCCCAGTTCTCCAATGGCGATATACCTCTTAGAACCTGACAACATACTGGTCAACATTTTTGTTCCCCTTCCAATTCCAATGACCAGAACACCTCGGGCTGCGCTGTCTAGAGTTCCTCCATGCCCAATTTTCAAGGTCTGTTTTTCCCTCTTGGTCCATTCTGAAGAAGGCATACCAGCTTCTGCCAGCAGCTTCTCTTTCAACCGATTCAGCAGCTCGGCTGAAGTGGGCCCTTTGGGCTTGTGCACTGCGAACACGCCGCTGAGAGACAGCAGTTTAGTAGCCAAAGGGGCCTTGGTGACCTTTGTTTCAGCTCCAGTTCTGGCCGCGGCCGCAATATTTGCGGCCGCAGCTATTGCTACAGACTTCCTGGCCAATGTTGAGCCTGTTTCTGCAGCGTCTAAGATCGGGGCTATGTCTGTTTTCAAAGGCGAGGAAAGCACCACAGCTTCAGCAACTGCCATGCTTTTGCAGCCTAATCTTTCTTATCCATTCTGCAGTTGATGGTCAAGTTACCCTTGCTTTTTTCTAGCCTCCTATCACATGGAATAATTGTTTTCTCTCCTTTGATTTTCAGTCTATGAATTTCCTTTAGAGGTAAATGTGTTTCTTGTAAATAGTATATTGATGTATTTTATATTTCTTTTTTATGGTAAATTGAGGCCGTCTACATTCATAGTTAAACCAGCATACCTTGGTTCATCTCTGAAATGTTATCCTCCTGCTGTTGGCCCTCCACTTTTCCCCTTCATTCAGTTGCCTGTCCTGGTGATCCTCCTCTGCTGCTGTTCCTGAAACCATGGTCATCTTTATTTCTCTCTACAATATCTTTTAGTACTTCTGTAAGTTTAGTTTGGTGCTCATGAGTTCCTTCAGTTGTTATTTATCATGGAAGTATCTTATTTTTCCATCCAGTTTGAAAGACAGTTTTGCAGGGTACATCAATATGGGTTGGAAGCTGTTTTATTTTTTTCACAATTTGAAACACTTCACTCCAAGCTCTTCTTATCTTGATGGTTTGTGTTAATAAGTCTGCCATGATTCTGATTGATTTCCATTTATAGATTATCTGTTTCTTTTCTCTAAAAGCTTTTAATATTCTGTTCTTATGCTGAATTTGTGAGATCTTGATTATTATATGTCTGGGTGTAGATTTACTTTGGTTATGGCTAGTTGGATTTCTATATGCCTCAGTTATCTAAATGCCAGAACCTTTTCCCATGTTTGGGACAATTTCTGCTATTACTTCTGTAAATAGCCTTTTTACTTCATTTGTGTTTATCCCTGATTCTTTGCTGCTATGTATCCTTCTTAAATTATTTTTCTTTGCATCATCTTGCAGCCATTTAATTATTATTTCCCGATTCCTTGTTATCTTAAAGAGATCCTTCCTTTCATGATTGCTAGCTGCGATTCTGTCCTCAAGGTTTGAGAGTCTATCTTCGTCTCTTTCATGTGGTTTTGCCAGCTTGCAATCGACTTTTTAATTTCCTAGATATTTTTTTGAGTCTGTTTCATGCATTGTAAAGCCTTCCTATGTTGTTCATTCAACATTTCCATCATTTTCCTTTGCTCCTATTTTTTTAATCTACGTCTTCCTTAGTTATGCCCAACAATTCTTTCCTTACATTTGTGATTTCTTCTTTTACCTGAGACATTATTTGTGATCTCATTACTCTTACAGTCTCATGAAGTTGTTGCTCTCCTCTTTACTCTAGTTGCTATCTTCTCAGAGATTTCAGCTGTGTGACTTCCAATTTCTTCCATGACTGTATCTCTCAGACTTGTTTTGTGTAGGCAGGAGATCTGAGATTGCCTTTTGCATCTTTGTCTTGAAATTCTGCTGGTTTCCTCCCAACAAGCCAGTTGTGAAGTCCCAGGTATTTCCCATGTTGGCTGCCTTTCTGTGGTGTAGGGGAATGGTCCACACACCTGGGTTTCTCTGACCCCAGGTTCCCAGAGAGGTAGCAGGGCCTGGGGCAGGTTTCTCCAGATCCATGCAGCTACAATGGGGATTTCCTGACGGTCAGGGGTGCATGGCAGTGGGGCTGCTGCTTCTGTTAGCCTGCATGTCTACACTGGGACTCCCCCAAAAGTGGCAGGCCACACAGGCTGTGTTAAATGATTCTCTGGGTGGGTGCTGGCTATGTGAAGGAAGCAAGGGTCTCCAGGGATGGCCTGCAGGTGCATGGGGTTTATCTGACAGGGTCTTCTTTCCCATGTTGGCTGCCTACAAGATGCAGGCATTCAAATGGTGGTGGCCAGCATGGAGAAGGAGGTCTCTATGATACTGTTTTTATACAAATGTCAACAGCATTTCAGAGTAGCCAATGATGTATGAATAACACAGTTCTTCCACAATTTTACTAGGCTTTGCTGAAATTGGACCAGTAAACCCTATTAGAGAGATAAATGAAGACATGAGAGAAAATATTTTTGTCTGGGAGCCAGTGTCTTCACCTGAATGGAGTGAAGCTCTGAAAACTGACTCAGATCCACAGGTTTATTGAGGAATAATAAAGGCATAGAGCATTGCTGAGCACAGATGTCTGTTTTAGGTAGACAGGTAGGCAAGGGAAGGCTTAGTGAGTGACAGTATGGCTGAACAATTAACTTTTATCTGATTGTTTCCTCAGGAGCTTCCCCATTTTTCCTGAGATCCACCTCTGCACAAGTTGACAAAACATCGTGTTAGCAGTCTTCCACCTTCCAAGTCTACCCTGTAGACACTGAGCCATTGGATGTGGCAAGGAGCTCCACTGCCTTTGCTGTATATTTTGCTTTGGCTGTTTTGATAAACGAGGGATAATATCTCAATCAATTTTAATTTGCTTTTTCTTACTGTCTAATGAGATTGAACACCTTTTCTTTTTCACTTTGAGTATTTATTAATGTGTTTCTAATCTACATAAAAAGTTGCACATATTAATCCTGTAGAATATGGTATTTTTAAATGCAGATATTATGGAATGACCCAATTGTGTGAATTAACATACGCATCACTCACTTATCAGTATTGAGGCAAGAACACTTCAGTTATACTCTCAGTAATTATCAGGACTGTAGGTCATTGTTATAAATTACTGTGTTCTCCAATGTTGAACAGCAGAACTTAAGCTCATTCCTTGTATTTAACTGAAATTTTGTATCTTTCAACCAGTATATTCCTATTCTTTTCCTACCCCAGCCTTTGGCAACTGCCTTTCCACTCTTTGCACATCTCTTCTTGTGCTTCTCATCTGAATGTCTTCCTTAATTGAAACTCCTCTTCATGTCTTTTGCCTGTTTTCTCATTGGGGTTTTCTTCACTATTGAATTATGAGGCTTCTCTAGATATTTGGTTACTAGTCCTTTATCAAATACATACGTTTAAAACATTTTCTCTGTGTTCAGAGCTTGTCTTTTTATTTCCTTAAGACTATTCTCAGACAAAATTTTTAAATTTTGATGAAGATCAGATCATCAATGTTTCCTTTTATGGCTTGTGCTTTTTGTTAAATCTGAAAACTTTTTCTTAGTCTTCAATCAAGGTTTCCTTCTCATGTTGTCTCTGGCAGCATAATTGTTTTAAGGTGCATATTAAATTTTTCCATGTTTAATTTAGAGTGAATTTTGAATGAAATATGGGTAGATTGAGCGTAATCTTTTTAAACTATGACTGTCTACCCCACTGCTGTGTGTTGACAAGGCTATTTTTCCTGTATCAAACTTTCAAACAGTATTAGAAGGCGGTGACTTTAAGTAGTAGTGGGGTCATGAGGCTTCCACCTTCATGAATGAAGTAAACCCTTTGCCAAGGGAAGGGGCTGATTATCCTTAGAGTGATTATCCCTGTAAATCACATCTTCATGCCTTCTCTTTTTCCTCTTCATGTCCCCTCTCTTTCCCTTGCAGGAGTCTTCGACACACATTCCAGATGGAAAGTGCTGTGTCCTTGGACTTCTAGGTCTCCAGAAATGTGAGAAATGTATTTCTTTAAATAAATTATTCTCCAGTATTCTATTATAACCATAGGAAATAGAGTAAGACAAATCCTAAACACATTTCCTAAGATATTTTATATCTGATCTTGTATCTGAATTGTCTATTTTGACTTTCTACATTATTAAAATAAATCAAACCCTTACTTTCGGTTATGTAGGCACAACTATTACATTCAAGAGACAAAGACTCTTTGTTCTCATAACTTAAATTGAATGACTCTGATGAATTTCCAAAGTATTTGGATAATGTGTCATTGTCTTATTATTTATCATGATGTTCCTTTTCTCTCATTATTACTGGAAAAGAAAGCCAAGTTTCAAATTCATTTTTTCTACTTTCTTTTATATTAAATTGACTTTGAAACAAAAAGTTGCTGAACTGGTATTGTCTTTTTCATTTTCAGTAAAGCATGTAAGAATTCCCATATGAATTATATGCTTTTCCAAAAAATTTTAATAACTAAGTTGGAAAATATTATTCACATCTTTGAGGGTCAGAAATGACTAAAAAAGAACTTTAATATCTATATTAGAACCTACCTATTGAATAAAAGTAGAAATCTAATGCTCACAGATTCAATTATGTTTTACTTATTTGTTAGAGAAATTGTGAAAAATATGTAGAATGACTTCCCAAAGCAATTCATTCCACAGACACACCATTGTGCATCTTCTAAGAACAAAAATGCTACTAAAGGTTATCCATTTTTTTTCACTTATACCTTTGGGAGGCTACCCTTGGACACTGAATATGCAAGGAAATCTGTGTTCAGTGTGAATCTCTTTTCTATCTTGAAGTTCAAATTATCCTCTAACTATAGTAGAGGTACATTAATGCAGATGAAATCCACAGTAACACTTGGCTTTCTGGAATTAAAAGTATTGTCCTTTCATGGAATGCAAAATAAACTAATAATATTGACAATGATTAACAACAGTAACTGCTAACAATGATTATTCTTTCTTTATTCTTTTTTTTTTTTTTTGAGACAAAGTTTCTCTGTGGAGTTCACGCTTGCCTTGAACTCTCTTTGCATCCCAGACTGGCCTCAAACTTGCAGGGATTCTGAACCTCTGAGTGCTGGGATAACATGCACACTGCCACTGTGCTTGGGGCTGGTGACAATGCTCATTATTAACCACAGTCAATATTAATAATGAGCACCAAGTAAAATAAGAACAATAATAATGATAATTTTCAAATATCAGATATCCAAAACCAACAAGTGGAAATCATGCCCTTACTGGAACTCTAAGTAGTAATAATGATAATTTATACATATTAATACTTGTTTCATCTTAGCATGTTTAGTCCTAGATCAGTGACAATACCAAATTATGTCTCTTCATTTTTTTTTCTTTTGGTAACAGGGATCGAACTCAAATCCTTGTGCTTGTCAAGCAGGTACTTATCCTGCTGAGCTAAATCTTTGGCCCCTTGTCTCTTCATTTTTAATGAATGGACTTCTAATAATATACATTA